TGCTCTCTTGGCTAGCTATGCACACTACACACGAGCGGCGCGTGACATAGAGATTCACGCCGCTCTGCCGCGCTTTGTATTATGCTATGCTGGGTGGGTCCTACTCGTAGCGCGCTCGGCGCTCGAGGAATACTTGCGCGGATTGGCGGATCTTTATTAATTATTTTCTAATTAATTATTGAAAATTTTGCAAAGTGGTAAAGAACTTACTTATTCAGTTTGACCCGCTCTATCTGTACACGACGGTTGGGCCGCGAACTTTGGGACACCCTGTATATTAAAGCCCGTGTCCACGATGCAAGAAATTGGTTCGAGTTCTTGGCCCAAAATGGTTGGATTGCTTCAAGAAATGTGTAACCAATCAACTTGCTGTTTTTCCATACAAACTTCAATTTAATTGGCTATACATTTCTCGGACCAAGAACTTGGACCAATTTCTTGCATCGTGGACACAGGCCTTTAGAAATATCAATATTTTTACAAGTTGAAAATATACGATTTATCAGTTTTTATTTTTCTACCTTATCTTTGAATGCATTTTATTTAGCAATGTAAAAACGTGTCATTCTATATTTATTTTCTAGTAGATATCGAACATAGAATGTCACGTTAACATACATGTTAATACATGTTTTATTCTGTGTTTGACATCCAATGAAAAAGATAGAATAGAAATATATACTTGCGTTAATTTGTACCGTTAAATAAAATGTACTCAAAGGCAGGGCAAAATATGGAAGCTGATAAATCGTAAATTTTTTTTAGTAAATATATATAAATATAAATATATATATATATATATATAAATGGAAAATATTCTGAGATTTCTTATAATTTTCTAAAAAATGTTTTTAAAATATGAATAAATAAGAAATTTTTTCTCAAAATTTTTCATAAAATAAAATTATGAAAAATTCTTAAAATTTTCTAGGAAATTATGAGATGTTTTTTCACCAGGGTAGACTTAGCTATTGACCTCATCATCTCCAATAAACTATGTAACTCTATTATCTTTACAGATTCTCAAAGCATAGTTCGATCCCTCGCCAACTGCTCTCCGTTGAATTGCAAAAATGAACTGATTGTTTATTTAAAAGAAAAACTCTACTCAGCTCATCAACTAGGTCTTATAGCGTTTTCGAATAAACGGGGTTTGAACGATCTAGGGTTGATCAATCACTATTTTACTATAAATGCAAGTCTTTCATTGGTGGAGAGGTTGCGATGACGTCATTAACCAATCTTGGGTCGTTCAAATCCTGTATAATCGAAAACGCTATTAGTATCGAAATCATTTGGATCCCAGCTCATACAGGAATTCTCGGAAACAAAATAGCCGATCGTCTAGCCAATCTGGCTACCAAACACGGAACTAAGGCACTATCAGGCACTATAAACGTGAGTATTCTACCGTCTGCTCTGGTCTCCGCCATTTCTGTTCCGTTCCCCCACTCCTTGCCCTCTCACCTCTATCGTTGAGCTGACAAGTTTATGATGATTAGGTTATGGTTTCTAAGCTGCTCGAACTCTGTATTTGCGTGTATCCGACTGTGAAAAAAAAAAGATAAATGCCTTGCTGCGTTGCGGTCAATTGTACCAATAGAACAAAAAAAGGTGTTCGAGTATTTGCATTTCCTGTGGATGATATTCGTCGACAGCAATGGATACGTAATCTCCGCAGAGAGTCTTGGACACCAACCAAATATTCGCGCCTCTGTGAAGTAAGTTTATTTTCTTAAATTTCCAATTTACGTAGCTTTTTCTGTTTGTTTAGGATCATGGATCGTTTTTTTAAGTGTAGTTTAGATTTGTCACTGTTTGAAATTACATAAATATGAATAACTGTAATCAATAAAAACATTTATCTTATAAGCAATTTTTTTTATTTCAGAAACATTTTGAAGAATCACAGTTTGAGATTGATTAAGCAGATAATTGGCGAAAATTAAAATCAAACGCCATACCAACACTTTTCGATATATCTGATCCACCTGCAATGAATAAAAATGAAACAGATGAACCAAATACAAATGCCACTGCTGAGAAAGACGTAAGTTTCTATGATACATTACAGTAAGATAAAAGAAATGACATGTATTAATTTGTTTGTTTATTTATTCATTTATTTATTATTATTATATTTATGGGCGTGACTAATACTCTTGTACACATCGTACGAGTGATTAAATATAAACATAAGATTAATGAAAAAATTTACGTCTTTCTCAGCAATGGCATTTGTATTTGGTTCATCTGTTTCATTTTTATTAATTGCAGGTGGATCAGGTATATCGAAAAGTGTTGGTATGGCGTTTGGTTTTAATTTTCGCCAATTATCTGCAGTCTCAAACTGTAATTCTTCAAAATGTTTCTGAAATAAAAAAACTGCTTATAAGATAAATGTCCTTATTGATTACAGTTATTCATATTTATGTCATTTCAAACGATGACAAATCTAAACTACACTTAAAAAAACGATCCATGATTCTAAACAAACAGAAAAAGTACGTAAATTAGAAATTTAAGAGAATAAACTTACTTCACAGAGGCACGATGATTTGGTTGGTGTCCAAGACTCTCTTTTTGTTCACATTCGGATAATCAAAATACACGTAAACACAGAGTTCGAGCAGCTTAGAAACCATAACCTAATTATCATAAACTTGTCAGCTCAGTGACAGAGGCGTGAGGGCAAGGAGTGGGGGAACGGAACAGAAATGGCGGAGACCAGAGCAGACGGTAGAATACCTACATCTTTAGTGCTCTAACGGAACTAATCTAAATATACATATTCCTCATTCTGATTTTTATCGTCATTTCCAAGAAAAAGTTTATCATCGATTCTTCTCCTTTCTTGAATGATGGAAAAATACAAAGGGCATTCAATACTTTAAATTCTATTACAATAAAACTAGAAAACCTTGGTTTCACCCTTTTCAATCTCTTGATCGAAAGATCATTACTTCCGTAAATCGTATCAGAAGTCATTATAACTTAAATGCCTCGTTAGCTAGGTTCAACATTGTCAATTCTCCAAAATGTAATTGTGGTTATCACTCAGAAAACATTGATCATGTACTATGGAATTGTCCACTTTACAATAATGCAAGAACCGTATTACAAAACAACTCCAAAAACTTAATCTAAATCCACCTTACATAACCACTTCGCTCTTGAAAAACCTCTCTGCCAAAGTCTTGGATGCCTTTGAATTCTTCCTCAGAAAGTCTAATCTCTCCCTTTAAATTTCTCGCTCCATTCTATTGCCCCCTCTCCGAACCAGATGGCCGCAAGAGGGGAGACCCTTCGGAGCCATAACGCATCTTACTCTTAAGGCCATCACACACAAAATGACATAACTGCATATGCATAGCATAAGACCGTCTCGACCAATGAACATCTAGCATAAAGACGCCATATTGATTTACATAGCATGCTCATTGGTCGAGACGGTCTTATGCTATGCTCGATTTCAAATTTCACCTAAAAAGATACATTTTGAGTAAACACTCATCTAATCTTTTTTGCTCAACTTCGAACACAACGGAAATAGAACCAAATGTATCTTGCCTTGTATCCCCGCTTAACAATGACAGTTCGTCCAACATTTCAAGCAATATGCTGTCGCCATACGTTCAAGAGGAAGAAGCAACAAATTATGCGGAAGAAGTATTTGCAAATTACGGCGATACTGATGGCGACAAAGATCATCCCGTTAGCGATTTGTCGTCATTCGTAATTTCTTCGGAGGAAGAGCAACATTTGAAATCACTCGACGAATTAGATGTCATAGATACAATCGAAGATGAAGGTTTAAAGTACGTGGCTGGCTACGTAGCGTATCGATTTAAAAATAAGTATCCAAACTTAGGAACCGAAACCTCTCTCTTGCCAGCTGTCGACGACGTGGACTGGCTGCAATTTGTTTCGCGAGGGAATTGCCTCTATCCATGCAAAGAACTTCTGCAAACTGCGCGTATTATGAATGCAGAATTTACACGGTACCATGGATCCAATCTGTGTAAAGATGCATTTATTTTTAAGACATTGGCAACAAAAGTTCAGACATTAATCCATCCAATAGAAATACCCGAAGAGGTGATACTGTGTTTAGTGCGTACGCGAACATTTATTCGAATACGAGAAATAAATCGAGCAATAGTTATAAAAAATCGAATGAGAAATTAAAAAAAAAAATTGTCAAAATTTGTTAATAAAAAAATTGATTAGTATTTGCACACAATTTTACACCTTCATGTTTTTTATTTGTAATCACCATCATCCTCTCCAAATTTTTCAAAATTTTCCTAAATTATACGAAAGTTTTTATACTTAAGAGGATTAAATTAACATAATAAACATATTAATGTAACGTTTGAAACTTAAGGTAAAGCCAAAGTGATTGTTTCAAATTCTATGTTTGTGATTTTTATTTATAAGTAAATAATAACAAATATTGTTGTTTACATTGAAAAGTAATTTTGTTTATAAGTAAATAATAACAAATATTGCTGTTTACATTGAAAAGTAATAAAAGACGAAATTTTAATCAAAATATATATTTTAAAATTGTTCCGTATTTTAAAGAGTTTACATATAAATGTTTAAATGGGGAAAAAGAAAACTTTGTTTAAACATTACATACAATCATATGTAGAAAGTTTTATTTTTTTCCCATTTGTTATACATTTACATATAAACTCTTTAAAATACTGATCGACTCGAAAATATATATATATGTTGATGAAAATTTCGTCCATTATTACCGTTCAATATAAATACCAATTATTTTTATTTTTTATTTATAAATAAAAATTACAAAAATTAACAAATATCTCAAGATATAAACTTCTTCATAATTTTAATATTAAATTGCGCAAAATTTATTAATATTATTAAACTAATGTTGTTAAAAGATTCAAATTTGCCGCTTAATGATGACGTAGTCAAAATGCAATTCTCATTGGCTGGCTGCCATTAGGATGCGCAAGAGCATACCCTTGTATTTATATCATGCTCTTACTCCTTCTGTTGGCCTTTGGCTTAGTACGGAAATAAAAAACTTGATAGAAGATATTGCTTAAATTGAGCGATATTGAAAAGATGACTCTACGGTTAGGTCGAAAACACGTCGAATTAGCTGCAAAATGGTGAGTTCTTCTGTTTTTGACTTATTTAGAATGTTATTTCTCTGAATTTTAATTAATGATGCGAGTGATCAAGTTTAATCACTTCAATAGTTTAATACATATAATACATAAAAATGACAATTGCTTAAGAAAGTTTAATTATTAACAATATACTTATTACCTGTTTTTTTCTTATGTGAAAGGTTGAGAGTATACTTAATTCATTCCAACAAACAGATCTGTATTGTACTCGATGCTCTGTAAGAATAATTTTCCTTTTATATTTTAGGTTGCCAAGCGCATTGACATATGGAACTGGTGCATCTCTAGCATTGTTATACTTTACTGATTGGAAAGTAGTGGTACAACATATTCCTTTCTATGGTTCCAAATTTGAGGCTAACCAATAGGGCAGAAAATTGATAATAGTTCTCTGATATGATTATGTAATAATTCTAGTGGAACAATATATATTTCCTTGTATCATACTATTTACATATTTTCTGTTTATTTAAAATAGTAATGAATTATATATAAATTTATAATAACTTAAGTTAAAGTTTCTCAAATTAAACTCAAGTTTAAATTTCATTTTGTTGTTGTTCTAAAGCTTTCCTCTTGCGTGTCTCGTAGACAATATTTGCATATCGTTCTGCTTCTGCATACTTGCGTTTTACATACCATGGAACTACATAAATCCTACAGCAAAAAATAAAAATTATGTAATATAGATCGTGTCTGATTTATTTGTGCAATATTATATAAGATGAAACAAAATATACTTACTTACAACCTGCTACACACAAAGTTGTACCAATTACTACAAGCCCTAATCGGCTTAATTTCTGCCAGAAAATATGTTTAGATTTTGCTGACAAACTATAAAATATTTAGAATATATTATCTTAAATAAAAAAAATTTACTATAGATATATGTATCTTGTATACTACGAGAAATCCTTGCCCAGTGTTAATTTTAAGAAAGGCAGAATTAATTTTTATAAATAAAAAATAAAAGAATTCATATATTTTAGTGTTTTTTTTTTATGTTTTTATAATGATTAATTAACCTCAATTTCTTCACTATACAATATTAATTAAAAATTTTTTAAATTATATATATATAAATATATCAATTATTGTCATTACAAAATTAAAAGTATCACACTGAAAGAATGTAATTAAACGTTATATTACACATTTGCAAAATATTGTTGAGTTCACAAATCGGGCGCATAGGTTATAGTATAAATTAATGAAATTATTTGGTTAGATACCTCATTTGACTTTTGTTCTTTTTCACGTTGCTCTTTCATATATTTTTGTAATAAACTATTCCATCCATAAAAGCCAGTGACTGTTCCTAAAATAAATACGACGACAATCTGATCCTTAGTTACTACTCGTGGTATTTTAATCTTCATATTCAACACAACACATGCATGCATACTAGCCACTGATGCACACTAGCCACTGATGTACACTATCCATATAGTAGAATGCATGATTATTTATTAACATTTTAGTATAAAAAATGTCGTGTTAAATTATTTTACTATAAATGTTAAACATGTACACAAGTTACAAATAATCAATAATATTTGCAAGTCATATAAATTTTAATTTTATTAAATAAAAAGCTCATGACTTATCTATCATCATTTATATAAAGGAATAAGTTGAAAAGTAAAAAAATGTTTAAGAAATCACGCTTTAAAAAAATTTTTTAATTTTGTAAAATTTTTACTTTTTTAGTAATTATTAATCATTATTATTTTAATTATAGAGAATATGCAAGAAAATACACAAATTTTTTTTTTTTACTAAACATATATATATATTTAATTCATGATACATGTATCATATAGAATGTATACCTATAGTTGTAAAATTAAATTTACATGAACTATAGTACGTTATCTTCTCTGTTTCTTTATCTAATTTTAATTTCTCAGAAAAATAAATTTTATAAAAAGAATCAGTCAAGATTTAAACTTTGCCGGAGTATTTGTAAAACTTATTGAACGTATCTAATTGCGCTTTAAAGACTTCCTGCAACGACGTCGGTAATGTACGAGATAAAAAGGCGATTCCGTGTTGATCACAGATGCCAATCAATTGGCAGAGAGAATTATGCAAAGCCATCTGTAATAGAAATATAAGTATTACTTAAAATAATCTAATAAGATAGTGATCACAAGCAAGGATATTACCTTAATGTAGAAAGGTATAGTGCCTTCCACAATTAGTTGTAAGAAATCAGCGATCACATATGGGCTTAGACGAATCATGTCTTTTTTTAATTTTATCAGCAGCCCTGTAAGTCTGTCGAGAAAATGTTAATTATTTTTTTTCTTAAATTATGTATATATAAATAAATTCGAAATATTCTTGTTAATATTGCAATTTAAAAAACCTCTTTTTAAACTAATTTTTAAACTTACTTTTCAATATCAAGTGCAAGACATCTAAATCGGTGTTCATCGAATTTATCCGCTACGCTTTTTGATGCGTGAACAATGATATTTATTACATTCCTATACAAAAGTAATAAATTAGGTAATCTGTCCGTTATTAAGTTTGTTCTGATTTTTATCAGTGTTCCGCATATAGCAAGAACGTCTTCACACCATGATATTTTTACTTTGTCAAGTGACTTTAAACCAATCAATATAATAAGATCAACTGTAATGTCGGGAATAAGTAAGTGCTTGGCACCGATTATGTCATGAGACAAATGCAACAGGCCTGACCAATAATTATCAGGAATGTACAATGATAATATAATTTGGAATAGATTATTGATCGCAACCAAACGCATTTTATTACGTTTGGCATTCATGTTCGTCTTTATTATACTATTCCAAATGACAAACGAATTTGTCCATACTGCCTCATCTGCTTGTAATAAACTATTGACCTATAAAGAATAAATTACAAATATATATTAAGTATTATTAATAACTGTTATATATATATTAATGGAAAATAAATATTACTGTTTCGTCATGCAGCAGTTTTAACAGCTCATAAAATTCTTTTAATCCTGTAGACATCAATAGGGGTTCGAGTAAATTTTTGCAAGAATGTTTTAACATTACGAACCATATGTTCTTGATGGTCATTTCTTGGATTTCGAATGCTTTACGATGTTGTAAAACAATAATAGTCAACTTCACACTTTCTTGCAACAATGTGCCATCTGTATTGCTTGAATTTTCTTTTGCCTGTAAAAGAAATTTATTTTTATCAAATATTGAATTATAATAAATTGAGGTACAATATATAAAAAAATTAAAATTTTTTACAATACTTACTGCAAATATATTTTTGAGAGTTAGTTCAGTTAATTTTTTCAAATTAATGCTAACTTTACCAGTTGGAATAGTTACTTTTAATACTGCTTGCAAACATTTTATATCTAAAGTATCGTTTATTTCTTCAGGTAATATTTTTAAAATAGCTTTGGCTAATTTTCTTTCTGCTTTTCTAAAAATAACTTTTTGTTCAGTATTTAATTTTGATCTCACGACTTCCATGCATTCTAGAACAATACACATAGATTCCTTGCAGTCAGCACAACTCTTTATGAGATTCTTTAAAGTGGCATATGTTGTCACATTGCGAAGAGAAACTTCGCAAGCTTTTGAAAATGTTTTATTCTGTGGTAATTGTTTTATAAATATTGTTGGTTCTATATATTGAAATATGTCGATGCCAGCTTTTTCTAATAAATCTGAAAAATTAGAATTATTTTTATTAAATGTTCTAAAATAAGTTTTTAAGTTTTACTTAAAAACTTTTAAGTAAAAACTTAAGATTATTATTAAGTTTGTACTTAAGATTAATAATATAAAGAATATAAAAAGTAAAAATAAAATTAATATTACCAGAAAATATCATATTGCATAACGTCGATATTTTATCATTTTCTTTACATTCTCTGCTAATGGAGTATACAATGAGAAAAACTAATGTTTTTACATTAGAGTTAAGATATATCATCGGTAAATGAAGCAATATTTCCAAATGTAATTCAATTTTACAGGAAGTTGCATTTGTTGTTTGTACCCATTGTTCTTGTGATATCTGCTCTTTTACAATTTGCAAAACTTCTAGCAATTTATCACAATGCTCGACCTCCAACAACAATTTCTAAAATTTTTTGACATAATTAGAATAAAAATGAGATTATTTTGATTTACAATTATCACATAAAATTTTTGAAATGTCTACATTATATACATTATTACTTACAGAATTAATCTGCTCTGTAATGGAGCTTGTAGATCCCATTGACAAGTATTGTCCAATTTGGGCAAGAATATGACTTAGGAGGTACATTACAAAGTACCTATTTTCTTGTACGTATTCATTATTTAATGTGTCAAGCCATTCATGAAAATTCTTTTCACTTGATGTCATATCAGTCAACAATAGATATGTTATTTTGGATATTTCCTTGTCACGTAACAACGAAAGTATATTTGTCTCATGTTTCAAGATTGTGCTCCAAAAATACTCAAGGCCATCTATTAAACTATCGAGTTTAACAGGTTCATTTGATATATTTAATCTTATACGATGTAAAATAAGTTTATTCTGAAATTGCGACATAAAAATATAGATACGCTTTGCAAAAATATTTAAAAAATTATTTTATCTTTAAAATTAAACACATTAACAAATAGTATTGTCAAAAAATAGTATTTCTGTAGATACCATGATATTTTTGCAATTATCTTCTCCAAAGTTGGTTATTCTTTGGATTAACTGCTGCCAAGAATCATCCAGAATTGGAAAAGATAATTTCCTCATAATGGCACCTTTTGGCATGTAATATTTCAACATATTCTGCATTTCACTCAGTGATAGCACTGCACTGAGCAGTAGTATAATAACACTTTTATTATGAGCTAAACACAATGCTTTGTTTATTAATAGTGATAAAGCATTTTGCAGTACATCCAAATTGTTGACAAATTTTTCATGGACAGACAATATTCTGGTATACTCAAAAATTTGCATCCCTTCAAAAAGTATAATAAGCAATTCTATTGTTACCTTCAATAATAATATATTTTTACCTGTAATTCATACATAAAATTATAAAAAAGATAAATTTATATTTATATTGGTTATATTTTAATAAATTAACAAACAATTAATAATATGAAAATAAGACTTACATGAAGTATTATCCTGTAACAATTCCAGACAATCTGTGTTTAAATAATATGTTAATGTTTTTAAAGTTGCTATCGTTTGCGAAGTGGAAAAATTGCTAATTGTTTTTATCAATTTTATTCTAAATTCCTTTGAAAGAAATGTGGACGTATTTGTCTTATATATTTTCTTTGTTGTAATTAGCTTCAATGATATTAACAATTGTGTCATAAACTTTTGTTCTCGTCTCAATTTTGTGCTGGCATGCAAAATTGCAATTAATAAGTTTGTATGATCAATAGTTTGCTCTTTCAAAAGTATCTTGTTTAAAATGTCTGAAATATTTCTCTCTATCAGAAGTGGATTGATATATGAAAGTTGTATAAGTATTCCATAATGCACACATGTTATGTCGTCATGTGTTAAAATGTCACTTATAAATTTCTGAAAATATTCAGATAGTGTGACATCTTCTATGATATTATCGAAATCAAGCATTACATCATTTAACAGATTGAGAGAAGTATTCAAAATTTCCCATTTATATTTTCCCGAAGAGTTAATTAGATTTCTGAAAAACACATCCAATACAGCAGCGTCTGATTTATAAGTGCCTATTACAGCACGAAAAATAAATTTATATGTTAAAATATTACTCTCAAGATTTAATGTTTCCACATTTTCAGATAACATATAAAATAGATCTGAGAAAATTGCTTGACTACTTTCTACAGTCTGTTTATTTTGCATAGATTTGCTTTTTCCTAGCAGCAACTGCTGAATGCATTTGTATGTTGCTATACCAAGCTTGTTTGTGTTATCTATGTGTCTATGGTCAATTAAATTGCATAAAGGAAACAAAATATTATTTATAAAAATTAATCTCAATTCATCTTTAGCAGTCATCATTTGTTTGTATATTTGCATTAGACTTTCAACAATACTTATTATTGCGTTATTTTCTGCAGATGATAATAGACATGATTCATGTGGTTTGCTGAATTCCTCTTGTGTTGTATGTTTGGAGTGTTTCAATATACTGTTTAAGAAAGCTTTTACGAAGATACCTAAATTCTTTGGTTTATTTGTAAAATATTGCCGCAAACTATTGTTAGTAAGAACTAAACTGCAGCACTCCAGAACTTCTTCATATTCATCTTTCATATCATTGTTTAATGTTTTTATGAGCACATCAATCAAATATTGTTTGACATTGATCTTAATGTCGATATGAGAAGATTTTAAACAATTATTTAGTGTTCTCCAAGTATGTTGATTTGTAACACATTGTTTACATAGCCATTCCAGAAGTAAATCCTCTTTCCGAGTAAGTGGTAGATTCACAGCAGAAAATGCAGTTTCTGCTAATTTTAATCGTTTCGGTAAAGGATTGTCTTCTGAATTCAAACGCTTTAATAATTCTGCAAATTGCATTATACAAATGTAATTTACTATCTATAAATTACACATTACATATTTACACATGTCCTAGGAAAGATGCCCAAAAGTTGTTATTATTTACTTACCTCTTGACAACGCCATTATAACAATTTTTTAGCAATATTTTGTCATATTATTTATTTTCAATATAAATATATAACATAGAGAATTAACTATTAGATATAGGAAGACATATATTCGAGGTTACAAAATTATGGTTATGTCTTGTATTCAACACGTGGAGCACACAATCACCAGGATAGTTTACACGAATCTTTCCAGCAACTCAATTAAGACCATAAGGGCCTATCCATTTCCTTATGCATTTACTTATAGACCAATCAATTTCCTTATGCATATGTTTGTGCGATTATGCAAGTTTGTTTGGATAGGCCCTTATGAATGATTGTTGAAACGATGGTGAAAGAGAAAGAATTAATTTCCTGTTCTTCTGTCATCGTGCAGGCTTATGCTAGGTTCATATTCTAGTGCGATAAATGCGATTCCTTACATGTAAGAAAAAAACCGAGTCAAAGTTGGTTAAAGTGATCAGTTGGTAGCATTATCGTGTGTTATTACTGTTGCATTAAGTATAACCTATACATCAAATTTCGTGTAGGTTTCATATTAAAATTGTTCACGTTTTATTTATTTATATAATTAAAGAATCGCAAATCATGGCTTCAGACGATTCGTGGAAGACACAAAACTTTCGACAGAGTGTTATCACGAAAATGTAAGTTGAATCATCTAAAAAGTAAAAGCATTATTTAATGTAATTAGCAGTATTAGTTTAATGAGTGATATAAGAGTTATGTAAATGTATATTTTATATATTACTAGGGCATATATATGCGCGCCTTTCTTTTCTTTCCTCTTTCTGTTTCTTTTTTTTCAACACTTTAAACTTATCAAAGCTATTGAATTAAAACTGTCGAAATACAAATTGGCAAACACATTCATTTCTATGACAATCAATTTTATATATTATATATTTGAGCACCTCAAAGATAGAATCTCTCTCTAAAGAGATTTTTTGCTTTTAAGTCACATTTTTTTTCAAAAATTGAGTTATAAGATTCTATACTCAAATTTCTACCTAAGGACAAATGATTTCAATAAAATAAAGATGTGACTGTATAAAGTTAAGTCGCAATGCATTCACCACGTAAAGAATATTAAGTCACATCAAAATCATATTCCGTAATCACAACAACTTTATTTTCTGAAACATCAAAGTTTGATATGGTTGCAATAAGTTGATACAAAAGTATTATTTTCTCTGTTGTTCAGTGGATAATCGAACAAAGACAGAGTGATACTTGTGTCGGTTGTGTCGATTTGTGTTTCTTGGTGAAAAACTACGTATGTCTGTGAACAGAATATAAAAAAATCTACAAAGATTATAAATATTTTACTGAAAGCATATTAAATGCGAAAAATCTCTTTAGATTCTTCTCCCAAAAAATGATGTTTATGTGACTTAATATTTACCTCTGAGGTGCTCATATATATATGTTTCATTTTTTTATTTGCACAAAGCAATATATCAGCTTCTTATGCATGTAAAGTTATAACAGTTTTGTTTATTTTTAACTGAGTTTTCCAGCAGTTTCATATGCAGTAAATTAAGGAAGTATAATTATAAATATCTTTACGACAGAGATGAAGCTGTACAGATGTCTGGGATGCCCACAACAAAGAACAGCGTTGAAATGGAGAATCATGTCTTTCAAAAAGCAAAATCTAAGGTTTGTAAATTTTATTAAAAATAAAACAAAATTTACAATAATATTACTTATATTTATTTATTTTTGCTATTGTAATTAATTTAGATATTTTCTGCATTTTTTTTTAGATGTACTGATCAATTAGAAATTTTTTAATAAGATCAATATAGCAGTGAATATTTTATACCTATTATCTATATTACCTATTACTCTTATTTAGTTTAGAGAGAGTATAATCACTCAATATATTGCCTTCGACAAACCTTCTAGCGTTACTAATATGTTTTTTTTTCTTGCAGGAAGAATATTTGGGATTTGTCGCCAGATTAATTCTTCACGTCAGAGAAATGAGTAATGTTCCTTAAAGTTTTACACCCAGTATTGCTAAATTCTTTTTTAATTTTTTCAATATATGGTAACTTCAGAAATTGTTTGACATTGAAGAGGTTAAAGACAGTTTTGCAATAATTCTTGGATATATCACTCTAATCTGTTTTTTTTTTTTTTTTTTTTTTAGACTCAAAGAAAGGTGGAACTGGTAATACACCAGGTACTGCAGGCACTAACAATCAAGGCATGCCTGATCCAATTGGCGCTCTTCAGACATTGGCACGCCAGGGAACTGGAAATAATCAAATGATGGGTATGGGAGGTCCAGGTCCTAATCATCAGGGCATAATTCCTCAACCACCTGCAAACACTGCAACTAATCGTAAGTAATTAACACAAAGTTTACAATGTTGTTTAGATTATTTCTCTTGATTTGACAATTTTTCGATTTTTTAAACTGGTTACACCAGGCTTTCCCCTTGAGCTCCTATCAATCGACGATCTTATTGAAAGGATCTCCAGTGATATAGAATTAAACTGCAATATATATATATAAATTTCTATACCCATAGAATTATATTTAGAATACGAAACATTAAAAGAAAATTGAAATTAAAATCACCAATAATTAGGCAATGTTTGTAATTATCAATTAGATAACTAAAAACACTCAAATTTTGCTAAGATATTAGGATTATTTGGAAAGGTAAAAAAAATTAAACAAAAATAAATAAAATATTAATTCTTATCAAAAATTTCAAGGCAAAGTATTCAAATTTTATATTTATTAAATCATGTTTACTGGCAAAAGGCAATAGTTTTTTCTCAGCTTACACTTTCCACAAGGTTATCATAAAACCAATAGCCGAAATGTTTAAATGAAATGTATTAAAAGATTTTAATCTGATTGCATTAATTTAAGTGCGCATCTATCCTGCGTTCTGATTCTTTAAGGGCGGAGTCTGGTGTAAATCGCCCAAAAAAGGAGGTAATTTTTAGGAATTTTTTTTGAAGAAATTGCAACAAATTTTTTAAAAAACTTGGTGTTTTATTACATATTTTAAAAAGTAAAAGAAATGTTTTTTTGTTTAAATATAATTGATTTTGTAGCAACTATAAGCAAAACAATTACAAATTCTATGTATAATCCTGTATCTTATATTACCGTTGACCGTGCCGAGCGAAGGCGCGCGCCCCGCCGCGCGCTCGTATACCTGCGCGCAAGAAATGGGCTGTGGGCTCTTTAGAACTTCAAATTTCTGTAACTTTGGGAATATATTTTCTACATGGATCACTACTGGTTAAAGCGAAAACAATTTTTCGATTTTTTTAACCGGTTACACCAGGCTCTTCCTTTGAGCTCCTTCTATCAATCAACAATCTTATACTGAAAGGATGAGCTTGATATAACTGCGATAAGATATAGTTCTGTGTCCTTTGTAACAGTAAATATTATGATAACCTTGTGGAAAGTGTAAGCTGAGATGTGTTTTGAAATATCACTAGGCAGCTAAGTATAGTAGGTATTAAGTAGTTGAGCAACTATCAGTGAAGAAGCATTTGTGATCTTGTTCATTCTGTTGAAATTAATACATTTCATTGTACAACGTTCAGCAAATTAACATGGACCAATTAAATAATCCCTACTATACACAATATGTGCATGAGCCGGAAAATGAGCCGGGTGATTCGAATTATAGAGAAACACGTGGTCCATTATTGGAAAATAAAGTCGCACATTATAATGATTATCAGTATATCCAACAGAGAAATAAAGAGGAATTAATACATAAAAGTTGGATAGATCAGATCGAGCAAATACAGCAGGGTGATTTGGAAGAGAATGTTCAGGAAAAAATGGAAAAAGGTATGACACTGCGATTGGGTCCTAATCACGTAAAGTTTATATACAAATATAAAGGAAATAAAATACTCGGTATAGCGAGTTTTAGATTCAAGATAACGTTTTTATATCGCAGTTTGTCACGTAAATGGTTTATTAGTCCCGGTTACTCTTTTGTGCCGGACGTAATCGATCTCAAAAGCAAACTCAGGCATGGCGTGTACAATCCTCTCTCTGAAGAGATATTCGATTTAGTTCGTGATGTGAGACATTCGATAAATACTTTCATGACTCGTTTGACCACTGTTCACCTATTCATGAAAAATGTGCGAAAAAATTATAAGGATATGCAATTTGTTGCGAATGCAACTGTTACACAAATAAAACTGATATTTACGGAAAATGTGTGGCCAAGTGATCTGCGAAAATTGAACACCGAAGACAGGATAGTTGTAAAGCTAATGTTAAATAAAAGGATTCAAGTTTGGAATATCAATTACGATTGTTTTATGCAGACTGATCAGAAAACTCGAAAGCAAGAAAAATTTCTCAGCGAGTTAGAACATAAGTTGCAGGATTTCTATAATTTCCCTTTAGAAGAGGCATTTGAAAAATTTATGGCGAACGAAAATTATACTGATTGTGAGCAAGAAAGCTCAGAGCAGAATTGAAAGATTATTATTAGAGATTTTCTTATAAATTTAATTATTCCTTAAATTGATAATTACAAACTACGTTTCTATTTTTTTGTAGTATATAGTTTACTTATATTTTTTTAATATCATAATATAGCTTATTTTAATATAATTTTTTCTTAATATAGTTCTTAATATAGTTATAATAATATAGTTTTTTCTTTATAAATAGTGCAATTCTCATTTAAAAAATACATTTGTAAGTGATAAATAGTTCGAAGTTAGTCTGTACTTTTTGATTAGTTTTGCAAAGCTTAAATCAACGACCTGGACAACCAATGAATATGCCTGGTATGCAGAATAAAATGCCAGGTATGGGTATGATGCCGGCTCAAACTGGCGGTCCGATGAGCCACATGGGTCCGATTCAAACTATGCAGAACAATCCTATGTTGACTCAAATGAACCAAATGGGACAAGGAAATATTCCTCAACAAATGAATCAAATGGTACCTGGGCAAATGAGTCAACTAGCTACTGGACAGATGCAACAAAATATGCAGGTACATAGTCACACTTTGTTATATTTTAATAAATAACATTGTTTATACGAGCATTTATATGAAAACAAAATTTTTTGAAGAAACACGGACATCTTGTGTTCACTTTTGTTACAGTCTCAGATGCAGAATCAACTGTCAGGTCAAATGAATAACCAGATCACAGGCCCAATAGGCAATATACAGACCAGCATGCCGCAACAAATGAATCAAATTGGTCCTGGACAATTGGGTCCTGGTCAGATACAACAGCAGTTAAATCACATTCAAAGAAAAGTAATACAGTTATTTCTTTTGTTATTTTTATCGATTGATATTCGTTATATAAAGATTTGGTTATTTTTTGTTGCCAGTATTGTATTAGCATAATTGTTATTTTCATTTTCAGCCAGGTGAAATGATGAACGCAGGATTTCCAGGTCCACGAAACGTTACGCCTAATCAATTTTTAAGACAAAGTCCGTCGCCTTCGGCTCCGAGTCCAGCTGGATTAGGAGCACCATCCAGGTAATATTAATGCACTTAAATATAATCTTTAACAAACTTGGAATTTTTGTTAAGTATACATAACGAAACAAAAAATTATTTTCTAGCAATCAGATGGTAGCCTCGCCTGCTCTAGTGCCATCACCAAGCCCTCAACATGCAATAATGACGGGACCTGCTCGTTCCGTAAATTCCATAGGTAAGTTTAGGTAATTTAAAATTAATAAATGTGTGTATGAAAAAAGAAAGAAAAAAGGTATATGACGTTTTGAACTAGGTATGGCACCATCTCCAAGCAGTTCGTTAAACACTCCTGGAGGTATAGGTGCTACGCCGAGTCCTCAGCAAGAGGATCAGGCTTATAGAGACAAAGTGAGACAACTGAGTAAATACATAGAGCCGTTACGAAGAATGATCGCTAAGATGGGCAGTGAAGGAAGTAAGAAGATACAAATATTCAAAATAAAAGTGTATAATATTACAAGAATGGATATATGTAATTTTAAGAAACTAAATTTTCAAAAAATTAAAACAACTTGTTGCCTAGAAATAAAAAGATCTTGTGATCTTTTATGAAAATTGATGAACATATTTAAATTTATGAACATATTTAAAAAAATTGCAAATTTTCGTAGATAGAATTTCCGTTAAAGAAAATTATATATATTTTATATTTGTTTTTCTTAAACAATTTACATTATTATTTACAACTACTTTCTGTCACAGATGTTGATAAGCTGAGCAAGATGAAAAAGCTCTTGGAAATTTTATCGAATCCTAGTAAACGTATGCCATTGGACACGTTACTGAAATGCGAAGTTGTCTTGGAAAAATTGGATTTCAAAAGAGCGGATGGCAGTGTGGGACCACCGCCAACGACATTGAAAGAGCACCAAATCTTTAGTCCGCTATTGGAGGCTGTAAATACGCATCTTCAAAGCCCGGTAATCAATCATACATTGCAGCGTACTTTTGGAGCGTACCTGGATGCTTTATTTGGACCAGAAATAAAGTAAGTGCATTATGATTATGTATATAAGAAAAGATTTATCTTGTTCTTATAAATTTATTTAATATTATTTATTAACACATTTCATTCTGTGCATATAAATAGAAATTTGCCTCCATCATTGAAGAAGCAAAAGATAGAAGAACCACCCAGTGAAATACCAGATGTTTTACAAGGAGAAATAGCTAGACTGGACCAACGATTTAAGGTATTTAACAGCTATTAAATTTTTAAGCCTATTTTGGATAATTTATAATTTAATTTGAGTAGTATAATAAGTTTTATTGAAAATCTATATTTATCAGAAAAGCATCTAGATTTATATTTTCTGTATATTAGAATGTTTTCCGATTTTATGGACTCTACGTTTTTCTTAAAATTTTTCAGATATAAAGAAAAGTACTCGCTCCCCGCCCTGCACAATTCTTACCCACAAGAATTGTGCGGAGTTT